GTAAATCGCCCCGACTGTGCCAGTCTAATGTCATGAATTTGTTTTTGCGTATCTGTTGACCGACTTAATTAACTGATTATTAGCGAATTGCTGTGTTATGTCTGTCATCGTTTAGGTCTATTTGAAGTTTTGGACGGAACTTGGCTCAGTGGTTTGGAACTAATTACAAGATACCGTCGCTATTCTGACATCCGTAGTTATTAATGTAGTGAACGATTAATCAAAAGATATGACGTATTCAGTACTTAGTGTGATTGGCTTTATGATTGAAGGTTACGCCCTAGAGTCTTTTTTACTGTTTTGTAATTGGTTAGAGTTTTGAAAATGAATAAAGAGAGTTTGAGTTGGTCTTGGCGAATACTCCACGACAGACGCAGTCCGAGAGAGTCCAGGGGCGAGCCTTGAGGCAGTCCAGTCTTGGGCTAGTCTTGGGTCAGCCTTGCGATATAGTCTTGGGGACTTTTCCCCAGGGCGCTGTGTCTTATAGAGTGCTCCGAAAGATCGACTAAGACGAGAGTTGAAACGTATTTCGTTGTGTGTGTCTTATTTGACTGTAAAGTATAAGTGACATTCCCGATCCCGTACCTCAAGGGGACGAGATAGAGAGACGAGACGAGTTTCCCCCCCCCCGACAGTGTGGAGACCCCGAGAGGAGAAAGATTTTACCCCTGATACTAACCTGAACCCAACACATGAGCGAGGCATTTGAACAGAACGAGAAGCCAGCGTAACTTCGAATTTAGAAATAATATCAGTGTTTTATCTAAAATAAGGGTAACGGTTTTTGATTTTTTTTAAATTCTACATTTTATCAAAAGGGGAGCAGGATACAAGTTATTTACAAATCTGTGGAAAGGAAGTTGTTTTCGTAGAATATATGTCCTATATGTACCAGCCAAGAGCCCCCTCCAGGGACCTAGTAAGTACTAACCCTTCACATCGAATGTTTTAAGAGTGTTGTGGTTATTTCTGGTTAATATATTACTCAACGATAGAAGAATACGAAAACAACGTTTGTTAGGGATGGATTATTTGAAACTCTGGGGGCGTTGGCAGAATTGAAAAAAAAGGACAGGAAGGAAGGAATCATTGGAAAAAATACCGCAAAATACGAATTATGCACATCTATTTCTTAGAGGAAAATAACACACATAGGGGAAATTAAAAAATACAGCGAATTCATTATTGAAAATAGCACAAAACTAGTAAAAGAATACAAATATTTTGCATAACTGTTCTACTATCTATGTTTATTAAACACTCACTAGCGCTAAAACCGTGATAAAAATGATCAGTTTGAAGTTGTTTTTCCGGGATTTAGCTCGGTAGGCCGTACATGACAGCCATTTTCTTGAGGTCGAACGAGAACTTTTCTCGGAAAGTGGAACAGCTAAAACGTCAGGAAATGGTCGTCTGCTAGTACTATTAATATTTTGCTATGAACTTTACGTGGTATTTACTGTTGTCCATTTACCCTGTACCATACAAACAAATGTATATGCTATTTGGCGCCTATGGGAGAAACCGTAAGTCTTCCGACTCATTAAAAATCCTAATGTCTGAAAATAACGAATTTAATGACACCAAATATATCCGGAAATGACTAAAAAACCATTAGAAATACCATACCAACACAAGAATAGCTATGGGCCCACAGCTACTTCAAACCATGGAATTAAAAAAAAAACGGGCTCATTGTCAAACATAAAAAACTTTTCGTTTTTTGTTTTTTTTTAATTCGACAACTTGAGAATACCTTCAAAATTCAGTCTCCTGTAACGAGAAATTGTTACGCGATAGGTGTGTGTCCCCTCACGTGAATGGTTCTTTTCACTTCCGGTATATTGACATTCAAACATTGAAATGGCGGCGGTGACGAGTTGACATGCTGCACGATTACCATATGTGAACTGCTGCGTTGACCGAATAACAGTGGTATTCAGAAGCTATTGCCCTTCGTGCATTGCCAACTGGAGTCGGTTCTAGCGCAGCCAGCTAGTTGAGGTAAGTAAGACAGTTTGACAATTCAGTTTCATATCGATGAAAAGTCGTCAACAACCGCTGTGCTTTTAACTTCAAATGAACTTGCGCTGCTCCGGCCTAGCCGTGGTGTTGTTTCGCGGGAATGAATGCGTTCATTGCAGCTGCGGAGCATGCTGTTGTAGCAGCGATCAGAAATGCCGACAGTGAAGCATAGCTATAGATTTAATCGCAAATAGTTAACATTGTCAATTCATTTCACATGAGAGATGAAAATTGTGTAGTTGTTTAATTCAATCGCGTATTTACAGGTCATTCATTCACGGTGTATTGTTGACTTCATTATAAACCGCTGTGTGGTCATGACATGGGGTCACGCAAGCGATATTGCATCATCGTTGATATCTCGTACGACAACATATGCGTGTGTCTGGTGTTATTAGAGAAGGACCGTTCTAGGAAAAGAGTTTACTTGTAAACGGAAGAACTTTAGGAAATATGCACGTGTTCTTTCTCCACGTGTATGCGGTTTACGACCGGGTCGGGGTATGGTATTCTCGTCAATAAGAAACCGCGTTTTTGTCAAAAATACAGAAGGTAGTCAATGCTAGTGACAAATTAAAAAAAAACTAACAGATTAATTAATTCAGTGCAGATTAAAAATATGATTACGTAGTTTGTACAGAGGTTGTTGCTTTTGTAATGATAATTTTCATATATTGCTGGCATGGTTAATGCTGGTAGTGACCTTTTTTCATTTATTCCCTTTCTTTTGAAATGGTTTCTCCAGCACATGTCAATTTTGAATCATTGTATGGGAGGAACTATTTAATAGAGGGTCACAGCTTGCTATTAGTGCTACCCAACCAAGGACATACCAGGCATTCATCATCCTACTGACCTTTGTACATGATATAGCCCAGCAAGATTGCTCTCAAAATGCAACTGCAAATTATTTCATTAATTGATCAGTTTCTATAGTAATTCTGCACCATATTTTGTTGTCACGTTTTTGGTTGGTATTTGGTATACCATGCTATCATAGCCAGATCTATGGGACAATACATGTGCATGAATACATGTGTCCAAACCAGGGTGGTGTGATCAGTGCAAGTACAGAGTCATTAATCATGCAACATTAGTAACAGCTGACCTGACGTAGAGGGCGCTGTTACAATTTATGACCCCTTTCTGGGAACCATACTTGTAAAATACTTTATTTTAGCTGGAATTAATTTTCGCTGAATAGACCTTTTGAGTGTTTTGTATGGAGTTTATTTTCACTGATTTTCGGTGAGTTGGATGTAAACTATAGGAACAACAGTATATTAACTGGATTTTATTTTCACTGAATCTTGTCTTCAGTGAAAATAGCAAAAATTAATTCCAATCAAAAATAAAGTATTCTACAGTACTGTAAAAAAAATTACGAAAGCAGATTACAATATTTAGTTATTAGCCTTATGCACAAGTCATAAAGGTTACATATCCTATCACTTTTAGCCATATTGTTGTTACAAAACAGCTTTCAATGGCACTGATCTAGAAGCCGTACCTACACACGAATTGGTGACGTCACAAAAAACCAGACCTTCAATCGGGGTCGTTTCCTCGGTATATACAAATTGGTGTATACAAATTACAATAAGATACTTAAGACATTAC